TACCAGGCTCTTGCCCTGCATCCTCCCCACTGCCATCCTCTAGACGATGGTCCTTTGTTTCCATTTGCTCCCAACAGAAACTGTTTTCACACCAGAACATGCACTTGACCTGCATCGGTCTTGGGTCTTAGAGAGCTTAACGTGCAGCCAAAAACCCAGTGCAGTAACTGGTGGAGCCTATGCAGAGCAGACAAGTGGGGGACATTTGTTGAATGAATGAGTGAAACCTCAAGCTATACTAACTGATATTTTATCCTCCACAGAAAAGGGGCCTTGCTGTTCAACAACATATTTTCCATTGTGCCTGCGATTTTAATGGGATGCAGTAAAGTCGCCACATCATTTGAGCTTATTATTATTTCCAGACTTTTGGTAGGAATATGTGCAGGTAAACAGTGTTACCCTGTATTGCCATTCTGTTATTTAGAATCATCAGGAAGGTGGAGAACAGACTCCCATCTAGGGTCTCTGAAGCAATAGGGACTCAAGCTGTTCTTAGGCCTGCCCTGTAGTCTAGTGGTGAAGGGGTCAGGATCCTACATGGCTGACTGCAGGTAGAATCCCCAGCCCAGTGGCCTGAAAAATACCCTGGGCATGTGTACATGCATGCCCGTCCAAAATCCAGACAGGATGCAGAAATGGAGAAGAAGAGATTGCAGTGTGACTATGCCTCATGGTGGTGGTGGTGCGGGGGGGTGCTTTCTCTCTCGCCCTGACTCTCCATCTCTTTCTGACAAGCATATGTGCTCTCTGGCAATTAAAAAAAAAAAAAAAGAAAAGAAAAGAAAAAGAAAGAAAGAAAGAGAAAAGAAAAGGAATTCAGGGACCAGCCAGTGGTGTGGTGGTTAAGGCACCTGGATCCCACATGGCTGTCTGCCAAGTTCAAATCCCGGACCCAACAGCTTAAAAACACACCAGGCACATGTGCATGTCTGCCCAAAATCCAAAGAAGAAAATGAAGAAAAGATTGTGGTATAGCCAGCTACCCTGAAGAGTACCCATGAGTGCACCTGCCCTGTAGAAAATTTAAAAAAAGAAAGAAAGAAAAAGAAAATTTCAACCATTCCTATGCATCTGCCATGAACTAGATGCTTGAGCCTCTCTGTTACCCTCATGTACAGACAGCAGGCAGGTCTTTACTGTGCTGACTGTTGCAGAGAAAAGCTATTCTTTGAAATACTGGAATATAGAATCTTGAGTTTGGAAGGGTCCTTCGGCTCAATTTTTTTTTTCTTAAAATTTGCTTTAGGGAGTGTGCACTTGTGGGGACAAGAGGAGAAAGTGAAAAGGCATCCCCGGGAGAACCATGATCTCTTCTCCTCTATGCTCCCCTCAGGATTCCGGGTGTGCATGCACATACACTGGACGTCTCTCTCAAGCTGCTGAGTCTGGGACTTGAACCCAGCAGCCTTTACCACCATGCCAAACAGCTGGCCCTATCTCAGTATTTTCTAAACAGCAGGTCAGGACCAGGACCAGTTAGATACCTGTTTAGTGAGCAGTATTTCTCTCTCTCTCGCTCTCGCTCTCTCGCTCTCGCTCTCTCGCTCTCTCTCTCTCTCTCTCTCTCTCCTCTTTCTCTCTCTCTCGGTTTGTTGTTGTTGTTATTTTGATAGGGTGCGTGCACTTGCCAGAGACAGAGAGAGAGAGGGAAAGTGAGAAAACACCCCCCCCCCCCGCATACGGCATGGCCACTCCACAAGCCCTTTTTCTCCATTCTAGTCTCAAGATTTTGGGTGCACACACACACATGCCCATGTATTTTTCAAGCCGCCAGGTCCGGGACTCCAACCACACAGTTGGCTATGAGGGATCCAAGCTGCTTAACTACCACACCACCAGCTAGCACAGCTTTTTCTTTTTAAAAGTAGAATAGGCTTGGGGGGTGGGGGTGCTGGCAGGTGGTGTGGTGGTTAAAGGCACTGGATTCCCACATGGCTGACCACGGTTTGAGTCCTGGACCTGACAGCTTGCTTTCTCACTTTCCCCTTCCCTCTCTGATCAAATTAAAAAGAATAGTAACAAATAGAATTAAATATATTTTTTAAAAAAGTAGAATAGGCTGTCATATAATTAAAGAGAAATATTGTTTCTTGAAGCTTTTGTTTCAGTTATCTATATCTATATCTATACATAGAGAGAGGGAGAGAGGGAGGGAGAGAGAGAAAAAAAAAACCAGATTGCAGTATACAATGAATTTCTTTATTTTTCACTCTTGGATAGTGGCCAAAAACCTTAAAAAACAATCTAACAAATGAATTCCTCTACCAAAAAGGTGTTAGCATAGCAACATTCCAACTTTTATAGGGGAATTTAAAGACAGCAGTAGGACTTCATGGGGCCTATTTTCCTTGTTCCTTACATGCCCACCCGCTGAGGAAGGTAATAGCTGGCGGGGGTCTGTCACTTGTGGAGCTGGTTTGCAAAGCCCACTCTGTGGCCCTCCAAGCCTGTGCTGCCCAGACTATCCTATGGTAGTTTTGGAAAATGCTCTCATAGTCGCTTCAAGCTAAAGAGAGCCATGGTTAAAGCCATGCTTGTGGCTTTCCCCAAGTTGGCATCCTTAGCAGGCAGTAGTTCTCAAAGCCAAACAAGAGGGGTATCTACAGTACAAACTCTTGGGGTCCTATGAGCACAGGGTGGGCCCCCGAGTGTGAAGCACCTCCTGAAATTTGCACCCTAAATGTGTCACCTGCCTCTTTCTAGTCATGGTTCCAGCACTGCCAAAGCCAAGGAACTCTCACTTGCTCCTTCCAGACTCAGGGTTAGGGAAGAATAGACAATCTGGCCAGGTGGAGTTAACTGACTATGGCAGAGAACCTCGGGGTCGGGGCCGATGACAAAGAACTGCAGGGCTGGGGAGGGAAAGATGAGAATAGTGAAGTCATTTCAAGGGAGAACGATGGGCCCATGGCACACCTGGTACTTGGCTTCCTTGAGAGTACCTAGATGGGTCTCCGCCATCTTGGCCTGACCTGCCTGGCTCCTGCCTTTGGGTTTTCCCTGCAGGGAAGCTCAGATTCTTAAACAATAGATGGTCCCTAAAGGTTTTCAGCAGTGAGCAAATATAGTCACTTGTCTATAGACTTAATTCAGAATTGGTTCCAACAGAGAAATACCAGGTTTCAATAGATAATAAATCAGAGTTAGAAATCTCCATCTCTACTCTTAAGTAAGCATTACTTTGAAGCAGCAGATGCTGTAATGGTTACGTTGTTGTACTCCCACATAATCAACCACGTTCAATGGTTACGTTACATGGACTCCTACGTAATCAACCACAGTTCAAGTCCTGGACTCAGTGACTTAAAACTCATGCCAGGCGCATATGCATGCATGCCCAAATTCCTAAGAGGAGAATGAAAAAGAAGGGACTGCAGCGTGGTCACCTCCTATGGGGGGTGATCGCTTGTTTTCTGCCTCTCTGTCTCCTTCTTTCTCTCCAGCAAGTGTATGGGTCCTATAGCAAAAATCTCTCTCAAAAAAAAAAAAAAATTAAGCATTACTTTAAGTCAATGGTTCTCAGACTTTCTGGCCACTTAAAATTGCTGAATGCTCCAAAGAGCTTTTCATGTGGGTTACATTGATCAGTATTTGCCATATTAGGAATTACAATCAAGAAATGTATGAACTCATTTTTAATATAATAAGACATTTCATGTTTTCATGAAAAATAGCCATATTTTCTATAACAAACAAAAAGCAGTAACAAGAGTATCATTTGCATGTTTGCAAATATCTTTAATGTCTGACCGGACAGCGACAGCTGGGTTCTCAAACCTGCTTCTGTGTTCAGTCAGTCGTGGCATCACGTGGCAGGTGACCTCTGGAAATCTCCAAGGTATGCTCATGAAAGAACGCGAATGAAAAGGTCAAATAACATCTCAGCATTATTATGAAAATAGTTTTGATCTCACAGACCCCCTGAAAAGGTCTCAGGAAACCCCAGGGTCCTGAGCTCATACTTGGAGAACACCAGGCCTTGTGTCATCCATTTGCAGTCAATTTTCCACATACCTCCTGAAGGTCAGTGAGGAAGGAAAATGGACTCCCAGGGATCTGAACCAATCGGGGGTCTTGAAGCATGGGATTCAAGGCATATGCTGTGTAGACACATATTCTGAGGCTGCCCATATTAACGTGAACCACATAGTTCTGTCTAAAATTAAATTAGACAGCTACTCTGACAAAGGAAGCGCAAAGATAAATACGACTTGGACTTCATGTTGCTCACAGTTCACTGATTTGTTATCAGTCAACTTCTTGGCAAGAAGACGGAAGCATTTCACTGGCTTGAAGGATTGTCAATGTCAACGGCCATCTTGCTCGGACTCTAGTATCAGACCAGGCTGCCCGAGGGAGGTCAGAGGGGTCTTTTTTTGTTTGTTTGTTTGTTTGTTTTTTAGAGAGAGATTTTTTGCTTAGGGTGTGTACACTCTCAGGAGAGACAGAGAGACAAAAAGCAAGAAATCACCCTCCAGAGGGGCTGGCCACACCACAATCCCTTCTCCTCCATTCTCCTCTTGGGATCTTGGGCACATACGCACACGCGCCCAGCGGGAGTTGAAGTCACCTGGTCCTAGACTCAAACCACGGCCAACTACCTGGGAGTCCTGCAATGTAACCATTACACCATCTGCTGGTGCCTAGACGGTCATTTTTAAGGCAAAATACCATACCAGCAACAGGAAGGTAATCCCACCTCCTCACACACCTCCTGAGGGGCACTCTTCATTTCTGTACTTAATTAAGTCAGGAAGCTCTTGCCATTAAGAAGTGCCCCCCAGGGCCCACTGCTAAGTGATGAGGACGGGCCAATTCCTCTGACCTCAGCCTGCAACAGGCCTTTTGGACCTGGTCCTGTTGGGGGCTGCACTCCCCACCCCCAGGACATGCTGTAGTCTCTTTGCTCTGAAAATGGGAAACAATTGGGGATTAGTTGGTATTGATAAACTATCTCCTTTTTTTTCTTTTTTCTTTTTTTTTTTTCATGCTAGACCAGAGGGTGTGAGAGATAGAGAGAAAGCACCCCCGAAAGCCTGCTCATGTTGCATTTCTTTTTCCTCCAGTTCTCCATCCCCTCATGATCCTGGGTGTGGCTGTGCACATCCAGTATGTTTTTCAAGCTCTGGGGCTGGGACTAGAACCGTGGTTGGCCATGCAGGACCCAGCTTCCTCTGCACAAGACTTAAGCACTGTGCTACAGGGCTGGCTTCCTGAGATGTCTCCTTCGAAATACTAAGCAGAGATATCCCTGGGCAAAAGACTTGGCCTTCAGCACCCTCTCGTCTCAGTGTCATCAGCATCTTCCATTAGTGTGGTTTTCCCCTACACTCATTGACCTAAACTGTTCCCTTGAGTCCTCCCTGGGAGGCTGTGGCTGGAGTCTCCCTCTCAGACCCCTACATCTTTCTGAGCCTCAGCTAGTGTTCATCCTGGTCACTGTCCTTGGTCTAGCAACAACCCCTCTGAGCTCCCTCTGAGGACCCTAGTCACTGGGTGTGCTTTTAGGAAAATTAAATGGGGGTGATATATTGTGAAAGTACTTCCGAGCCTGTAAAATTGACTTTCACCTGTTCTTATGGAGGCCAGATTCCATTATGATCAGAAATGTTATAAGTTCAGGGCCAGCAGGTGGCATGGTGACTAAGGCACTGGACTCCACATGGCTGACTATGGTTTGAGTCCTGGACCTGGAGGCTTGCGTTCTCAACCACCTCCACCCCAACCCATGTGTCTCTGGTCAAATTAAAATATAATAACAATAAGTTAAATTAAATAATTCTTTTTAAGAAAAATGTTTATAAGTTTAAGTAGCAGGGATTCAGAAGTAGTCCAGGTATTACACAAACGCCAGCAATGCAGCCGTTCCGCAGTATAGCCTGAAATGCTCCTTTTACTGATAACTGTAGCTGGTGCTCGGGCGTGTGCAGAGGCACCTGCATCTCGGTTTACTATGTAATATACCGTTTCTAGAAGGTGAAGCTACCACAAGCCGCATCTCGGCTTTTCTCTCTGAGACCTTGGTCAGTTAGGAGGGAAGACCCGAGGTTGGCCAACCTGTCCATGGGTGACCCTGGTGGAAAAGCCAGGGCTCCGATTTGTGAGCTTCTTCCATCTGTTTTCTCTTTCTTTAAAGAACTAAGAACAACAAGGGGTATTTGCTTCCTCTTTTGTGGTTTTGAGAAAGTTCTGGTCCAAATCACATGATTGCTAAGTAAGAATAAATGTAGTTGAGGACACAGCTTGTCCTTGCCAGATTAATTTTCCCTGACTATGTTTTCATGTCAACCCTTTCTCCAGGTGTATCTTCCAACGTGGTCCCCATGTATTTAGGGGAGTTGGCCCCCAAAAATCTGAGGGGGGCCCTTGGGGTAGCACCTCAGCTCTTTATCACCGTCGGCATCCTTGTGGCCCAGATATTTGGTCTTCGGAGCCTCCTTGCCAATGAAAATGGTGAGTGTAGTACCTCTCAGGACCCTAAGCCCTCCCTCGACCCTATCCTTCGGCCCCAAAACCACCACTGCCACCACCAGATGGAATGTTTTTGTGGGCTGGTCTTGTCTCTTCAGGTGAGCTATCCTGGGGCCCCTGCACTGCCCTGAGCCCACCGTGCTGGTGTGTGCTGTTTGGCACACCATGGGCCCTGAAGTACATGGTGCCGTGTGGGTGCCAGATAGCCAGTGTTTGCCAGTCCCCCTTGGGACATAACCAAGGTGGCTTTCAGTTAGTAGGGATTCTGCTCAGGGGCCTCGGTCCTGCAACAGAGCAGTGACAGCCACCAGTGTGCTGGGCTCTACGGGTGGGGCTTCCCTGCCCTGCGTCTTGTGAGCCTCCCAGCAATGCTGTAGCCTAAGCCCTGTGACAATGCCATTTCACACACCAGAACCTCTGGGACCTTGAACCTCTGGAAGGGAAATCATCATTAATCATCATGCCAGTCAACACATATAAGGTGCTTCTCAGGGTCACTTGCCAAGTCATATTCATTCATTTATTCCTCCAAACAATCCTATGAAACACGTACTCTTACAATGCCCATTTGACAGATGCAGAGCCTGAGGTACAAAGGGACTGGCTAACTTGTGCAAGGTCTTGCTGGGTACAGCCCCAGCTCCGGCCAGGTCCGTGTTCAAGTTCGCCACCTTTAGCAACAATGGGGTTACTTTTGCCTAGACTTCTGTAGCAGTACGTCGCGTAGATTCTTTCAGCCA